GGAAACTCTTCCTGAGTATTCTTAACTTGTGGCAATATAGTTATTTGCATAATTGCAATAAGAATCTGTTTCTTTCATAACAGAACATAAATGGAAACACTGGTTATTTTACCAAGGCTTTCACTGAAATGACATGCTTTCAGATATAAATAGACCATTTTAGGGAATCAAAGTTGACTTATAGAGCCCATAAAAGCCCCTTAGGAAAACTGGTCTCACAGTTTATGCAGTACCTATAAAGGGTTCCCAACCCATGTAAGTACAGAATGTCACTTTCTTTTTATTATATTTTATTTATTTATTTTGAGACACTGTCTTACTCTGTTGCCCAGGCTGGAGTAAAGTAGTCTGATCTTGGCTAGCTGCAACCTCTGTCTCCCAGGCTCAAGCGATTCTCCCACTTCAGCCTCCTAAGTAGCTGGGACCACAGGTGCATGCCACCATGCCCCACTGATTTTTTTGTAATTTTTGTAGAGATAGAGTTTTGCCATGTTGCCCATGCTGGTCTCGAACTCCTGAGCTGAAGTGATCCACCCGCCTCGGCTTCCCAAAGTGCTGGGATTACAAGTGTGAGCCACTGCACCCAACCACGAATGTCACTTTCTAACAGGCCCAGAAGCTCCAAATTATCTTAGGATGTCCAGAGGAGAGGAATTCACCCAGTTAACAGGTATTTGCAGCCCAGCCTACTCGAGGCTTTAAAAAGTCTCATCTGAGATTCCTTATGGAAAAAGTTCCAACTAAGCCAATTTAAAAGTGATCCTATATGGCAAGTAATTATTTTTGCTGCACTTGATACAAATAATAAGGTCAAGTACAATAAAACTAAAACTTATTTTACAAATTTGGCCTACCTTGATCTGTAGCTGATAAAAATGAGAGACTGAAAAGTATTATAATACACCTGCTGGTAGATTCTAGTCTTATCTGTTGTTTTTGAGTATTTTAAAAATATTATTTTTGGCTGAGTGTGATGTCCTATAATCCTAGCACTTTGGGAGGTGAGCAGATCACCTGATGTGAGGAGTTCGAGACAAAACTGGCCAACACGGTGAAACCCCTTCTCTACTAAAAATACAAAAAAATTAGCTGAGCGTCGTAGCCCACACTTGTCGTCCCAACAACTCGGGAGTCTGAGGTTTGAGAGTCACTTGAACTTGAGAAGCGGAGGCTGCAGTGAGCTGAGATTGCACCACTGCACTCCAGTCTGGGCAACAGAGTGAGATTCTGTCTGAAAAAATAAATAAATGAAAATAAAATATTTCCACAATTTGGACTTAATCTTAAATCCTTTCTGGGCCATGACTCTCCAAAATAATATTTTCAAAAATTTTCTTCCATTTTTCTGATTTATACTCAATAAAATTGCTACTATTCTTTTTTCTGAGGCCCTACAAGCTGAAGCTTGTTCCTTGTGACGCAAGGAAGAAGAACATGTCAGATTGCCACTGCCTTCCTCCTCTGTAACTAAAGATACTTTGAGTGTAACATCTGCATAGATTATATCCACCATTAATGTTTATTTTTCTTCTGTTTCCATAAATGCCTCTTATTAAAAGTCTGTTGCCTTATATTTCAGACTACAGGAGACTATTCACTTAGATTCCAAATGGCATCTAATCTTTTCCTGCAAGCATTATTGAACTGAGCTTAAACATTTTATTAATTATCACTGGGTGCTATTTGGCTTTTAAAATAATTATTTGTTATACTCAATAGGGGTGCAGATGTTAAATGTTATGTTTTCCAGGCTTCAAGTATTCCAAGTTCCTTCAAATTCTTTAGAACAGTCGGTGAGAGATTTTCATGCTCCCCAAGGTTAAGCAGTGATGACAACCCTGTTCAGCAGGAACTAGCTTCAGAAGATGAAATCTTTGGCCCTTTCTCCTTAAGAACAAGGAAGGTAACAGGGCGCGGTGGCTCCCGCCTGTAATCCCAGCACTTTGGGAAGCCAAGGCGGGTGGATCACAAGGTCAGGAGATCGAGACCATCCTGGCCAACATAGTGAAACCCCGTTTCTACTAAAAATACAAAAATTAGCTGTGTGTGGTGGTGTGCACCTGTAGTCTCAGCTACTCAGGAGGTTGAGGTAGGAGAATGGCTTGAACCAGAGGGTTGGAGGTTACAGTGGGCTGAGAATGCGCCACTGTACTCCAGCCTGGCAACAGAGCCAGACTCTGTCTGAAAAAAAAAAAAAAAAAAAAAAAAAAAGAATAAAGAAGGTAAAATCTTATAAGGGAGATGAAACAGCAAAAATGGGGCTTGGCTTCAGCTCACCCACACTAGAACTTTTTTTTTTTAATTATATTTGGGCTCTGGGGTACATGTGCACATCCTGCATCCTGCCGGATTGTTGTTGCATAGGTACATACACGCCACGGTGGTTTGCTGTCTCCATCCCCCGCTCCCCACATTGCCTACATCAGGCATTTCTCCCAGTGTTATCCCTCCCCATCCTCCCCACCCCTCACCTTGCTGTCCCTCCCCTTTCTTCCCCTCCACCCCCTCCACCCAGCCCTGTGAGTGTTGTTCCCTTCCCTGTGCCCAAGTGTTCTCATTGTTCATCACCCATCTATGAGTGAAAACATGCAGTGTTTAGTTTTCTGTTCTTGTGTCAGTTTGCCGAGAATGATGCTTTCTAGATTCATCCATGTCTCTATAAAGGACAAGAACTTGTCGTTTTTTTATGGTTGCATAGTGTTCCCTGGTGTATATGTGCCACAATTTCCCCATCCAATCTACCACTGATGGGCATTTGGGTTGGTTCCAGGTCTTTGCTATTGTAAACAGTGCCACAATGAACATACATGTGCATGTCTTTATAATAGAATGATTTATAATCTTTTGGGTATATACCCAGTAATGGGATTGCTGGGTCAAATGGAATTTGTATTTCTAGATCCTTGAGGAATTGCCACACTGTCTTCCATAATGGTTGAACTAATGTACACTCCCACCAATAGTGTAAAAGTGTTCCTTTTTCTCCACATCCTCTCCAGCATCTGTTGTCTCCAGATTTTTTAATGATTGCCATTCTAACTGGCGTGAGGTGGTATCTCAAAGTGGTTTTGATTTGTATTTCTCTAATGACCAATGATGATGAACATTTTTTCATGTTTGTTGGCTGCATATTTGTCTTCTTTTGAAAGTGTCTGTTCATATCCTCTGCCCAGTTTTGAATGTGTTTGTTTGCTTTTTTCTTGTAAATCTGTTTTAGTTCTTTGTAGATACTGGATATTAGCTGTTTGTCAGATGGGTAGGTTGCAAAATTTTTTTCCCATTCTGTTGGTTGCCGGTCTACTCTAATGATTGCTTCTTTTGCTATGCAGAAACTCTTAAGTTTAATTAGATCCCTTTGTCTATTTTGGCTTTTGTTGCCATTGCTTTTGGTGTTTTATTTATTTTTTTATTTTTATTTTTTTTTTTGGTTCAAATTAATGGTTTTATTTCCATCTTTAACACTAGCAGAGGAGTCCAAAACAGACTGATATCCATGGATATAGTTTAAATGTAACAAAGAAAAAGCTGAACTATGTACATTGAAAAAAGGAGAGATTTTTGCACACCAACCTTTTCCTAGTTTGCAGTTTCTGAATAGTAGAAACCAAACACATTAAAAAAAAATTTTTTTTTTACCGATTTAATTTAGGACAAAGTAATACAACTTTTATAATCAACCACTTGAGTTATCTTTAAGGATAAAACTTAAAGAAATTTAAAAATGGGTGTTACCATATTTTATTATTGGACTGGCTCCAAGGTTGCCTTGCTCCAAGTCTGGGCATCATGACGTTGCCATGACGCCCAGAAGAAAGTTAATGGCAATGATGTCCAGTCAGAGGGCAGACATGCTACACATCACGACAATGAGAGGTGAGCCTCCTGCCCTCTTCAACTCCAGGTAGAAAATTATGATTTTCATTCAAACTAACTGAGCCCAACGGTTAAAAAGTCAGAATGAAGAATAAAACAATGTTCCTTTCACATAGAGGAGGGACACTCCTTCAGCCCCATTTAAAGTGAGCTCTGTGCTGAGTTCCTGCTCCTTCAGAAGGGTAAACTGAAGGTCAGTTATTGCTAACAAAGCCAGAAGTGGCCCCTTTCCCACTCTTAAGCTGCTTCACATGAAAAGGCTGTTGGTTTGGCTTGAAGCCCTCTGAGGAAGGAGGAGTGAGGAAGAGGAGGCAGGCTGGCACTCTAAGGCCTCTCTCATTAGCCACCCCCAGGCCCTGTGCTGTCAGGGGCACTTTGCTGCCTCTTTAGAGAACCCGAGGCTCCCACATGCCTGTGGAGTGAAGGAGAGGTTGTCATCTGGGTTCCTGTGCGGGGATAAGCCACTGTGTTTACCAATCAAAACCTATGTAGTCAAAAGCCCAAAGGATCCAAGCCCAACTGTCCAGAGTAGTTTCTGAAATAAATGCCATGGGGTTGGGAAGGATGAGAAAGCCAAGTCAGGTGGGCCAGGTTCTCTGAAACATGGGGCAACAGTGACTTGGGCAAAAGCCTGGAAATGAGTGGCTGATAAGGCCACAATTACTGCCACCACCTCTCAGCATCTATGCAGGGGCAGACATTAGGCAGTGGGAACTGAGGATCTGAGGACTGGAGGGTGCGTGGTGAACACAGGATGAATTTTATCAGAAAGGAGAGGACACCCACACAAGTGCCTGCCCTATTTGACCTGCATGTCCTGTGCCAGGTGAAGGACGCTGGAGCGTGGGTAAGGTTCCTGAGAACAGCTGGTGGGCAGAAAGGGACTGGGATGGGCACTGCTCCGCAAGCAACATTAGGCCTCTGGGGGGGGATGCTAATAGTGCTACATCTTGTGGACTGCTGAAAAGTAGGTAAAGAATGGCCTTTATTGCACTTTTTCCTTCTTAGAAAACGGGGGATTGCTCTGCAGAATTTCTCTTTTTGCAGAAATCACTGCAGATCAATAAGATGCAGGCAGAATCACGGCGACCTCAAGGGAAGAAGTCCAGCGACTGGTCTTTTCCGGGGCCACTCTTGCACCTGGGATCCTCGAGCTGGGTGAACCAGGTCTGGCTTGGTCAATGTGTGGGCAGGCAGACTGGTCAACCGGCAGACACTTGGGACAAGAGGTGGGGTACCCGGGGAGCTGGGGCAAACTTTCCAAACAGGGAAAATTTCTTGGCAACTATGCACGTTCTCCAACCAGACTAGAACCACAATTCCCAATTACAATGTGCCTGACTCCTCCCTTTCTCCCACCCTAGAACCGACCACCCCAGAGGAACACAGAAGACCTTGGAGGGTCCTGGGTCCAGCGCCACAGCATTAGACTGGAGATAACAAAAGGAAGGGGTTGGAAACAAAAGAGCAGTTTACATATTGGACGTTGGTTTCGACACAGTCTTTCTGAGCTCAGGAAAATGGAGGCAGATAGATACCACTGGAAAACCTGTCTGTCTGTCTGTCCATCCGTCTCTCTGAGCAGCTCTGAATACTTCATATATAAATGGGGTGGTACCGTTTGTGGATGATCTTTTTCCTACAAGTTGGGCAAGTATTAGCATTCCTCAGGGAATCACGGAGGCACTGGCTACAGAAGACATGGCCACATTCCGTGGAAACGATGAGACGTCCATTCTGCACAATCTCTGAGTATCCATCCATGCAGATAGGACAACTGACAGTACCAGAGGGCCTGAGGCCTGCAGCGCCCTCGTCCCTGGTGTTTCTGGGAGTGTGGGTAGTCACATACACGTCTCTGTCCCTGGACAGCTCTTCATCGTCACTGCTCACCACACAGCTGTCAGCATGGTCCTGGTGTAGCCTCCTAGCATTCCTCCTTGGTCTTCTCCTTTCGTCAACAATCACAACAGAGTCATTGTGAGTCAAGTCAACAACAACGGGCTCTAAAGATTCACAGGTGAGGTCCACAATTTCATCTCCAGCAGTTTCCACAAGTTCTATGGGTTCTGCTTCCAAGGAAATCTCCAGGGTGGAGGCTGCTTCCCGAGTTCGCTTCTGGGCTTGTCTAGAATTTATTGTTCCACCACGACGCTTTTGTACTCATTGTGCTCTTTGGTGCCAACGTACAGAAAAGGAAGTGATCTATGCCAAGGTTTGCAGGGAAGTCAAGTGTTCTCAACCTTTCATGCCCTCTGATTACTCATCTGGCTTGCAGAAGAATTTGGATCTGGGCAGATTTCCAGTATTTTCAAGTCCTGTAGCTGGTTAGGTCCGCAGGCGCCGCCGCCGTCACACTCCAGAGAGGAAGCTCCTTCTCCGGCCGCCGAGGAGAGCCCCTCAAGCAAGATGCCGCCGCCTCATCAGCGACCCAATTCCGCTTCCTGCTTTTGGTGTTTTAAACATGAAGTCCTTACCTGTGCCTATGTCCTGAATAGTGTTGCCTAGGTTTTCTTCTAGGGTTTTTATGGTGTTAGGTCTTACGTTCAAATCTTTAATCCATCTGGAGTTAATTTTGTATAAGGTGTAATGAAGGGGTCCAGTTTCAGCTTCCTGCATATGGCTAGCCAGTTTTCCCAACACCATTTATTAAACAGGGAATCCTTTCCCCATTGCTTGTTTTTGTCCAGTTTGTCAAAGATCAGATGGTTGTAGATGTGTGGCATTGCTTCCAAGGTCTCTGTTCTGTTCCATTAGTCTCTGTTTTGGTACCAGTACCATGCTGTTTTGATTACTGTAGCCTTGTAGTATAGTTTGAAGTCAGGTAGCATGATTCCTCCAGCTTTGTTCTTTTTGCTTAGGATTGTCTTGGCTATGTGGGCTCTCTTTTGGTTCCATATGAAGTTTAAAGTGTTTTCTTCCAATTCTGCGAAGAAGATCAATAGTAGCTTGATGGGGATAGCATTGAATCTATACATTACTTTGGGCAGTATGGCCATTATTGATTCTTCCTAACCATGAGCATGGAATGTTTTTCCATCTGTTTGTGTCCTCTCTTATTTCCTTGATCAGTGGTTTGTAGTTCTCCTTGAAGAGATCTTTTACATCATTTGTTAGTTGTATTCCTAGGCATTTTATTCTCTTTGTAGCAATTGTAAATGGCAGTTCGCACATGATTTGGCTTTCTGTTTGTCTGTTATTGTTGTATAGGAATGCCTGTGATTTCTGCACATTGATTTTTGTATCCTGAGACTTTGCTGAAGTCTTAAGCTTAAGGAGGTTTTGGGCTGAGATGATGGGGTCTTCTAAATATACAATCATGTTGTCTGCAAGTAGGGACAATTTGACTTCTTCTTTTCCTAATTCAATGCCCTTTATTTCTTTTTCTTGCCTAATTGCTGTGGCTAGAACTTCCAATATTATATTGAATAGGAGTGGTGAGAGAGGGCATCCTTGTCTAGTGCCAGTTTTTAAAGGAAATGCTTCTAGTTTTTGCCCATTCAGTATGAGATTGGCTGTGGGTTTCTCATAAATAGCTTTTATTGTTTTGAGATATGTTCCACTGATATCTAGTTCATTGATAGTTTTTAGCATAAAGGGCTGTTGAATTTTGTCAAAGGCCTTCTCTGCATCTATTAAGATAATCATATGGTTTTTGTCTTTTGTACTGTTTATGTGGTGAATTACAATTATAGATTTGCGTATGTTGAACCAGCCTTGCATCCCTGGGATGAAACCCTCTTGATTGTGGTGGATAAGCTTTTTGATGTACTGTTGGAGTTGGTTTGCCAGTGTTTTATTGAAGATTTTTGCATCAATGTTCGTTGTGGATATTGGCCTGTATTTTTCTTTTTTAGTTGTGTCTCTGCCAGATTTTGGTATCAGAATGATGTTCGTCTCATAGAAAGAGTTAGGGAGGATTCCCTCTTTTTGAATTGTTTGGAATAGTTTCAGAAGGGGTGGTACCAGCTCCTTTTTGTATGTCTGGTAGAATTTGGCTGTGAACCTGTCTGGACCTGGAATTTTTTTGTTGGTAGGCTATTAATTGCTGCCTCAACTTCAGACCTTGTTGTTGGTCTATTCAGTGTTCAACTTCTTCTCGGCTTAGTCTTGGGAGTGTGCAAGTGTCCAGGAATTTATCCATTTCTTCCAGATTTACTGGTTTATGTGCATAGAGTTGTTTGTAGTAATCACTGATGGTAGTTTGTATTTCCGAGGAATCGGTGATGATCTCCCCTTTATCATTTTTTATTGCATCTATTCAATTCTTCTCTCTTTTCTTTTTCATTAGTCTAGCTAGTGGTCTGTCTATGTTGTTGATCTTTTCAAAAAACCAGCTCCTGGATTTATTGATTTCTTTAAGGGTTTTTTGTGTCTCTATCTCCTTTAGTTCTGCTCTGATCTTAGTTATTTCTTGTCTTCTGCTTGCTTTTGAGTTTTTTTGATCTTGCTCCTCTAGCTCTTTCAATTTTGACAATACGGTGTTGATTTTAGATCTTTCATTGTTTCCCGTGTGGACATTTATTGCTATAAATTTCCCTCTAGACACTGCTTTGAATGTGTCCCATAGGATCTGGTACATTGTGTCTTCATTCTTGTTGGTTTCAAAGAACATTTTTATTTCTGCCTTCGTTTCATTGTTTATCCATTAGTCATTCAGGAGCAAGTTGTTCAGTTTTCCATGTGATTGTGCAGTTTGAGTGCGTTTCTTAATCCTGAATTCTAATTTGATTGCACTGTGGTGTGAGAGACTGTTGTGATTTCCATTCTTTTGTATTTGCTGAGGAGAGATTTACTTCCAATTATATGGTCAATTTTAGAATAAGTGCAATGTGGTGCTGAGAAGAATGTCTATTCTGTGGATTTTGGGTGGAGTGTCCTGTAAATGTCTATTAGGCCAGCTTGGTCCAGATCTGTGTTCAAGTCCTGAATATCCTTGTTGACTTTCTGTCTCGTTGATCTGTCCAATATTGTCAGTGGAGTGTTAAAGTCTCCCACTATTATTGTGTGGGAGGCTAAGTCTCTTTATAGGTAGGTAAGAACTTGCTTTATGTATCTGGGTGCTCCTGCATTGGGTGCATATATATCTAGAATAGTTAGCTCTTCTTGTTGCATTGGTTCTTTTACCATTATGTAATGCCCTTCTTTGTATCTTTTGATCTTTGTTGGTTTAAAGTCCGTTTTATCAGAGACTAGGATTGCTACCCCTGCTTTTTTTTGCTCTCCATTTGCTTGGTAAATCTTCTTCTATCCATTTATTTTGAGTCTATGTGAGTCTTGGGGTGTGAGATGGGTCTCCTGAATACAGCACACTGATGAGTCTTGACTTTTTATCCAGTTTGCCAGTTTGTGTCTTTTGATTGGGGCATTTAGGCCGTTTACATTCAATGTCAATATTGTGTTTGAATTTGATCCTGCCATTTTGGTACTGGCTGGTTGTTTTGCCTGTTAGTTGATGTGGCTTCTTCATTTCATCGTTGTTCTTTACCATTTGGTACACTTTTGCAGTGGCTGGTACTGGTTGTTCCTTTCCCTGTTTAGTACTTCCTTCAGTAGTTCCTGTAAGGCAGGTCTTGTAGTGATGAAATCTCTCAGCAATTGCTTGTTTGTAAAGGATTTTATTTCTCCTTTACTTACAAAGCTTAGTTTGGCCGGTTTATGAAATTCTGGGTTGAAAATTCTTTCCTTTAATGGTGTTTCCTTAAGGGTATTGGCCCCCACTCCCTTCTAGCTTGTAGGGTTTCTGCCAAGAGATCTGCTGTGAGTCTGATGGTCTTTCCTTTGTGGGTAACCCAACCTTTCTCTCTGGCTGCCCTTAGGATTTTTTCCTTCATTTCAACCCTGGTGAATCTGACAATTATGTGCCTTGAAGTTGCCCTTCTTGAGGAATATCTTTGTGGTGTTCTCTGTATTTCCCGGATTTGAATGTTGGCCTGCCTTTTTAGGTTGGGAAAGTTTCTCTTGGATAATATCTTGAAGAGTGTTTTCCAACTTGGATTCATTCTCCCCATCACATTCAGGTACGCCGATCAAGTGTAGATTAGGTCTTTTCACATAATCCCATAGTTCTTGGAGGCTTTGTTCATGTTTTTTCACTCTTTTTTCTCTAATCTTGCCTTCTCATTTTATTTCATTGATTTGATCTTCTATCTCTGATATCCTTTCTTCTGCTTGATCGATTCAGCTGTTGAAACTTATGCCTCACAAAATTCTTGTGGTGTATTTTTCAGCTCCATCAAGTCGTTTACGTTATTCTCTAAGCTGGTTATTCTAGTTAGCATTTCGTCTAACCTTTTTTCAAGGTTCTTAGTTTCTTTGCATTGGGTTGAACATGGTCTTTTAACTCAGAAAAGTTTATTACCCGCCTTCTGAAGCCTGCTTCTGTCAATTCATCAGATTCATTCTCTGTCTTTTTTTGTTCTCTTGATGGTGAGGAGTTGTGATCTCTGGGAAGAGAAGAGGTGTTCTGGTCTTCAATGGTTTCATCCTTTTTGCGCTGTTTTTTTTTTCCTCTCTTGGTGGGTTTATGTCCCTTTGATCTGGTTTCAGGCGGAGTCTCTGAGCAGACTTTTTCTTCTATTGAGGTTGGAGCTGTATCTTTTTTGGCCTGTAGAGGGCGTTGCTGGGCTCTCTTGGGTTTGGTGAGGTTCCTGGGTGGGGGGTCCTTCCCTGGAGTTTGTTTGCAGGTGAGATTGGCCCCGCCTTCCCAATGGTATCTCTCCCAGAGCTCCATCTTCCTGGTTGGGTTCAAACTGGTGTATTTGCTGCCTAACTCTCTAGCAAGGGCTTTAGTTTCAGTTCTGTGGAGGTGGCGCCTGCCAGGCCTTGTGGCCTGTTTCCCTGCTTTCAACTCTGCCTCCCCCTGTGGGACGGTGCGGCCTGTTGGCATTAGTCCAAACTTCCGCCCAGGTCTGTGTGACAACTTGCTGCCCCAGGTGGGAGCCGCTGCTCAGATCTGCATAGACTACAGTGCCCCACCCTCTGGCAGGGCTCTCGTGGACTGTGGGTTGTATGAGGGATGAGGTAAGCACAGGATCCGAATTAGACCACTGAGTGGGTGAAGTCCCCCCCCAAGTCAGCTGCATGTTTCAGGTGAGGACATGCCACCCGCTCTTGATTTGCCCCCCTGCGCGGCTCTCACCCTGTGGCGTCTTCCCTGGGCTATTTTCAGTGCCATATCAGTCCCACCAAAATGTCTGGAATTGTGAAGTCCTCCAGCCCTCTGCGTCTCATTTGCTGGGAGCTGCATTCCGGTGTTACCTTCTCTCCGCCATCTTGGCGCCCCTCCCTCACTGGATCATTTTTTTTTCAGGCATCCCCACTCGTTTCCCACGCCACTACATTACTGCTAATAGTCCTTTTACTTAAAGAATTCCAGTGACTGGCCTTAGGAGATAACCAAGGTTGCAGAATGTCCCACCTCAAGAAGGAATGTTGAACAATTGATTCACAGCCTTGTTGCCACAAACCAGACCATCGGTGGCCCATTATTCAAGACAACCCTTGCAAGCAGATAATGCTGACCTGCATAATCTACTCCTAATTTGTTGTGCTCTTTCTGGAAAGTCAGTCAGGGAATTTTCTCACTCTCTTATGGTGCCTCCCTTATCCCCTCGCATAAGCTCCAATGAAACCTTGTCTGGAGAAATTATTTGTCCTCAGGTCAATTTGCATTGAGAGACCAATAACCTTTGGTCATAACAAAATAAAGTACTGCCCAGGCAATTTGTTTTATTGAAGGCACCGGTTGAATCCTAGAGCCTAAACTTTAGTTCTTCCAAATCACTTTCTTCATGTATTCAATACTGGAGTTGTTCCACTGAGTCTGCATCTGGGACAAAGACTTCTGGATGTTCACTTAGGCAGTGGCCCAAAAGAGTGCTCATTGAAACGCAAATCATCATTCAATCATACTTCAGTAAATAACTTGCATGGAGAAGAGAGATGGATGTGGTGACTGACGCCTGTAATCCCAACACTTTGGGAGGTGTGCAGGAAGATTGCTTGAGGCCAGGAGTTAGAGACCAGCCTGGGCAAAAAAGTGACACCCTATCTCTACAAAAAATTAAAAGATTAATCGGCTGTGTGGTTGCATGCGCCTGCAGTCCCAGCTACTCTGGAAGTGAGGTAGGAGGATTGCTTGAGCCCAGGAGTTTGAGGCTGCTGTGAGCTATAACTGTGCCACTGAACTCCATCCTGGGCAACAGAGAGAGACCCTGTCGGGGGGGGTGGGGGGGGCTGTGGGGGAGGGGAATGTATCAACCAAGTACTGGAAGGCTGCAGTGGTCAGAGGTGGGGTTCTGGAGAGGGTGGGAAGAAAGGAGGGGTGTGCCTAGTTTGAGGGAGATCAGATTTGGAAGGTAGGCTACGGTCAGTACACACATTTACCATTGAAATCATTAGTGTCAACCATGACCATGCCCTCAGAGCTTGAAGACAGTTAAAACGGTCTGGAGAATTGGCATGACTTTTAAGGAGGCACCTTGGGTTTGTTTCTCACTTGCAGCCAGGCAGAGCATCCTCCTCTAGAGGGCGCAAGGGAAAAAAAAAAAAAAAAAAAAAAAAAAAAAAAAAAAAAAAAAAAAAAAAGCAGGCGCTCGCGTTCTGGCTAATTTTGAGCCGCGCCTCCTGCCGTCCGCCATCACGTGCCGGCCCGCCAAGGCTGCGTTGATAGGTGGGGGCGACTGGGCCCGGCACCGGGCAGGAAGGGAGGCGGCCGCCAAGCCATTCTGAAAGGCGCCCTAGTGAAGGCGACAGGCAGCTGACGGCCGGAAGGAAAATGGTGAGTTGCCGCTGGGAGGGCGGGAGCCGCAGGGCTGGGCGAGCCGGCCAGCCGGGCTTTCCTGATTTCCGGAGCCGGCAGCGGCGGGCAGCGCCCAGAAGAGGTCGGCGTCCGCTTCCTTCCTGGCGGCTGGCTAGTGCCTGCAGCCAGAGACTTGGCCTCCGCCACCGCGCCTTGGCAGCGTTCTCCAGCCGGGCCCGGGGTAGACCCGCCCAGCGGGCCATGGGACTAGGGTGTGGCCACGAGTCGGCGGGTAAGGGGGAGCCTCGCCAGGCCCTTCTGGGAGGGCTTCAGCTTCTGAGCTGTAGGTCGGAGGGAAAGGGATCTGCCCCATCGGAGGGCTCTCCCAAACCCCGCTTTTCCTGTCAGGGCCGTGACCAGGTCCCAAGGGTTGGTGGGCTCCGAGCATCTTCCGCCTGGCGGCGTTTCAGGGGAGGACTCATTCTGATTGAATTCTCTCGGCCTCGCCTAAGGCTTTTTTCTGTGTGCTCTTTTCCCTAGCCTCCTACAGAGGATTTCTCCTTATCTTTGCTTTCCTATGGCCGTTGGAAACCTTTCGACCCAAAGCTTTGGCCCTGGGCCTTAAAGTAATTGTCAAAAGCTTTAGTTTTGTTGGTTCTGGGGGTTATGGCTTCTATTCTTACATGGGCCGGACCCCAAGCATAAAAATAAAGTGGAGAATTAAATAAATCGCCATCAAGGATCTTTTGATCTATCCCATCAGGTTTTTAAGTGTGCGTAAATTTCATTAGAAACAACAAAAACACTACTCTCTGACCATCTAGTCAATTCCCAACGCACTTTTATCGAGTAGATCTTGTCATGGTCGCTGAATCCAATGGAATCTTTTCAGTTTTCATCTTTTCTGACCTTTCAGCTGCATTCCAGAGTGTTACACGCTCGTTTTTGAAGCATTTTCTTCATTCTTCCCCCTTGGCTTCTGGGATACAGAACTCGTCCTACCTCTCCTATTGGTCTGTCTATTTCTCTGGCAGACTATTCTCCTTTCCCTGGACAATACTCGAAGGAGTCCCAGGCTTTATTATAATCCATCATTTTCTATTCTGTATTCTTTATCCTAAACTATGGCTTCATTTACCACCTATTTTCAGATTACTTGTAAATTTGCAGCTCAGAACACCTGGCTTCTGAGATCCATTCCAGATCTATATGTCCTTTTTTTTTTTTTTTTTTTTGAGGAGATGCTGTTTCACTCTTGTTGCCCAGGCTGGTGTGCAATGGTGCGGTCTCTGTTCACCGCAACCTCCGCCTGTCAGGTTCAATTCAAGCTATTCTCTTTCCTCAGCCTACCAAGTAGCTGGGATTACAGGGATGTGCTACCACGCCTAGCTACTTTTGTATTTTTGGTAGAGACGGGGTTTCACCATGTTGGTCAGGCTGGTCTCGAACTCCTGACCTCAAGTGATCCACCCACTTAGGCCTTCCAAAGTACTAGGATTACAGGCGTGTGCCACTGCGCCCAGCTCCAGAGCTATATATTAATATTTCAGTATTAAGTTAACATCCCCTGGGAAGCTTTTCCCCCATTTGGGCACCCTCAAAGCCACCTCAGTTTGTCAATAAAACTCATGCTCTTTCTCCTCAAACTTGGTCTCTGTCGGTGTTCCTTAACTCAGTGAAAGTTTGTGTCATTCAATCTGTTATACAAGCCAGAAGCCTAGGAGTTACCTTGGTAAACTTTTTTTTCCTCACCCACACCCCACCCCCACCCCCAATTTCCAATGTGTCACCACCTCCTTTGTAGTGGTTAAGAGTGAGTTAAGATAGGCTTGCCTGGGTTGAATCCTGGCTCCACTAGCTATTTAATTGGGGAAAGATACTTAACCTCTCTAAACCTTAGTTTCCTGCAAAATAGGAGTATTAATAGTATCTGTTTCATGAGATTGTTTTGAGCATGAAGGGAAATCTATGTAAAGGATATAACACAGTGTTTCTCTCATAGGTTCTGATACATGTTAACTATTATTAGGACTAAATTGGAATTTTTTTGCTATTGAGTTGTTTGAGATCCTTACATCTTCTGGTTACTAATTATTTGTTGAGTAGAGTTTGCAGTTTTTTCTCCCATTCTGTATATTGTCTCTTCACTTTTGTTTTCTTTCCTCTGAGAAGCTTTTTAGCTTGATGTAATCTCATTTGTCTATTTTGCTTTAGTTGCCTGTGCTTTTGGGTCTTACTCAAAAAAATCTTTGCCCAGACCAATGTCCTGAAGCATTTGCCCAATGTTTCCTTCTAGTGGTTTCATAGTTTCACATCTTACATTTAATTTGATTTTTGTGTATGCTGAGAGTTGGGATCTGATTTTCTTCTGCATATAGATACCCAGTTTTCCCAGCACCATTTGTTGGAGAGAGTGTCCTTTCCCCAGTGTATGTTTTTGGCATCTTTGTCTAAAATGAGTTGGTTGTAAATGTGTGGATTTACTTCTGGGTTCTCTATTCTGTTTCGTTGGCCTGTGTGTGTGTGGTTTTATGCCAGGATCATGCTGTTTTGGTTACTATTGTTTTGAAGTATATTTTGCAGTACCGTGATACCTCCAGCTTTGTTCTTGTTGCTCAGGGTTGCTTTGGCTATTCACAGTCGTTGTGGTTCCTTACAAATTTTAGGATTGTTTCTTTCCCTTAAGAATGTCATTGGTATTTTGATCAGGATTGCATTGAATATATCACTTTAGGGTAGTATGGACATTTTAGCAATGGTATGTCTTCTAATCCCTGAGTTTGGAATATCTTTCCATTTTTGTATGCCTTCTTCAATTTCTTTCCTCAGTGTTTTATAATTTTCATTGTAGAGATCTGTCACTTCTTTGGTTAAATTTATTTCTAGATTTTCTTGTAGCTATTGTAAATGAGGTTGCTTTCTTGATTTCTTTTTCAGATTGTTTCTTGTTGGTGTCTATAAATATGTAATTTATCAGCTCTAACAGTTTTTTTTTTTTTAATGGAGTCTTTAGCTTTTCCTAAGATCGTGTTGTCGTAGACAAGGATAATTTGACTTCTTTTTTTCTAACTTGGATGCCTTTTATTTCTTTCTCTTCCCTAACTGCTCTGGCTAGGACTCCCAGTACTGTGTTGAATAAAAGTGGTGCAGTTGGGCACCCAGAACTCAGAGGAAAGGCTTTCAGTTTCCCATTCAGTATGCTGTCAGCTGTGGGTTTGTCATATATGGCCTTTATTGTTTTGAGGTATGTTCTTTCTATACCCAATTTGTTGAGGGTTTTTATCATGAAAGGATATTGAATTTTATAAAATGTTTTTTCAGCATCTCTTGAAGTGATACGATTTTTGTTCTTGAATCTGTTAATGTAATGTATCACATTTATTGATTCACTTATGTTGAACCATTCTTGCATCACTGGGACAAATTCCACTTGATCATGGTGGATGATCTTTTTAATGTGTTGTTGAATCTGGTGGTCTAGTATTTTGTTGAGGATTTTTGCATCT